ATCTGGGGTAGGATCAGCTTCGCAAATTAGGACGTCTTTAGATAGTCTCCAGATCGCATCAAAGCGTCTCTTGGGATCGCGGAAACGGAGCGCTTCCAAATACTTCTGGTCGTTCTGAATTGGTGAAAAGTGTCAGCAATGAGTGGTAGCTTGAGATCTGCCATCCCCATCAGGGATGACTAACCGTATTGGCCTTGATCTTTCCACAATTATGGCAAACAGTTTCCAACAGTTTCTTGATCTTAGTCAGGAAACCTGTTGCAGGCATTAGCTTTAGGTAGTCCAAGTACAGTTAAGACTCCATATAAGCCTCACCAATATGGAAAACAGGAGTAGAAAGCTCGATATGACCAAAATGCCCAGGGCAGTCATTTATTCCTTCTTCGCAAGTAGCACAACGCCAATTACGGTCAATGGTACCGAGACGTGGATCATTCAGACCTTTCTCACGGGGGCGTTGCCGTTGCTCGTCCTGTTTGAGCAGCTCGCATTAGTTCTGCAGCTCCCAGAAACAATTCCAAATAAATAAATAAAAAAACATTTGTAGGTGCACCAACCATAGTCTCTGGATACTCCACATGGACCACACTCATCCGTTTGATCTCCTCAGGGGAGAGAAGACCAAACTGAATCTCCTTTATCGTGCGCAGCTGCGCCTTGGAGTAGGGGAATTTGACAGATGCCATGGTTGCGGTGGATGACAAACGTGAAGAAGTTTGAAGGGGGAAGGAAGTTGACAACGGGTGAGGTGAGGGAAATAGCAACAACACAGGGTGAAGATAACGGTTGCTAAGTGGTTAATAGTCGACTGAGCAGTGTGAAACCCGCCCTCCACGAGAAAAATAGAGCAGAAGACAGCAGAGTCAAATGCTAGGAATCATCAAAACGACCACTCTGGTGATGAGAAGGACCGTGAAGGCTGGCCTTTGCCGGCCTTTTGGCAGACCCTGCCGCGAGGGCGCCTTCGACCCGTGCAACACACTTCGAACGTGATTTCCAGGCAGAAAAGAGGGTAATCGTTGGAAATACCGTTGAAAATACCGTATTAGGAGACGTCAAAATGGATACCGCGATGCAGAACACGATATCTCCTGGTGGTGTTGATGGCTGGGGGGGATGTCTGGATGATGAAAGGAGGTTGTGTTGAGAGTTGCCTCTCACTTAGTTAACGCTTGCAATTCAGCCTGAGTTTTTCCCAAAGAGCCGCATCTGCAACCGGCCCAACTATTACCCACCCACGCTAGCCTGCAAAATAGATTTCTTAGCATTGCCTTACCACCTCCGGAGTGGCAAATGAGGTTGTCTTGGCAGGAGATGACTCATCTAAGACACAGCGCAAGTAGTTTGGATACGTTTTAGTACTTTTCTAGCTATACTACGCTGCTTTGGGACTAGCGCCGTAAATTTTGCAACCTCTAAGGCATCAGGAGCATTAGATAAGCTCAATCGAAGGCCGTGAAGAATCTCCATCAACCGGGAGTTCAAACCAAAACAACTTTGTGAATTTTATAAGATATCATTAACTGCCGCCAACAATGATGCGGGCGAGGAAATTCCCCCAACAGCCCAGTTACTCGCAGGCTGTATCCTTGTCCTGGTTGACCCAATACCCTCGATGATTTCGTGTTCATATTGCCAATATTCAAACCACGACCCACCATGAATCTCGCCCTAATCGACCCTTTCGTCCTCGCGCAGGACTATCCAGATGCCCTGACAGGCAACCTACGTGTGTACTTCTACCTCAAAATTGCTTCTCATATATTTCACTATTAGTCTAATAATATATCTCTCTATAGGCAGTGGGCATGCTACATGTTTACGATTCAATCGCAAGGGTGACTTCCTGGCCTCTGGACGGGTGAGCATCTCTGATATAAGAACCTGATATAAAAACCAACCACATGCGCCATGCGACTAAACTCTGAGTTTAGGTAGATGGCACCGTCGTGATATTCGATGTGGAGACCAATGGCGTAGCACGAAAGCTACGGGGGCATAGCAAGCAGATTCAATCACTGAGGTATGGTAATCTTTGTTCAAATGGGAGGCTCCAAGGCACCTAACGCGAAACAGCTGGTCAAGAGATGGTAGATATTTGCTCAGTTCCTCGCAGGACTGGAAGTGTGTGTTATGGGATATGAAAGATGGCACCCGCGTGCGAACTGTCAGATTCGAAGCCCCCGTATACATTGCAGAACTCCACCCATTTAACCAGTATGCGATCCGCCCCATATCTCACATTTCTCCCAAGAATTAGCTTTTGTTCTAACACACATGCCTCGTAGCTGGCTCTTTGTCGCATCGTTATTTGAAGAGCAGCCAGTTCTCGTCGATATATCCTCTCCACGACCAATTAAGCGTATCCTACCATCCGCTCCCCTTCGACCCCAGCTCGCTGAAGACTCAAACCCAGCAGTGGCCGCAAAACAAGCCGCACAGGACGCGAAACATTCAACCTGTGTTACTATCTTCACCGCATTAGGTAACCACATTATCTCAGGCACCTCCAAGGGCTGGATCAACATCATCGAAACTCAAACCTGCACCACAATCCACTCAACCAGGCTTTGTAACGGTGTCGTTATTCTCCTCCGCCTTGCCAATAACGGCCGTGATCTGCTCGTTAACAGCTCCGACCGTGTTATCCGCACAATAATCATGCCCGACCTGTCCCAGCTAGGCGTCAGCCTCGATCCCTCCGCCATAAAACTCGAGGTCGAACACAAATTCCAAGACGTAGTCAACCGCCTTAGCTGGAATCACGTCGCTTTCTCATGCACGGGGGAATTCGTCACGGCTTCCACCTTCATGAACCACGACATCTACGTCTGGGAACGTAGCCATGGCTCTCTCGTTAAGATACTCGAGGGCCCCAAAGAGGAGCTTGGTGTAGTGGAATGGCACCCCAGCCGTCCAATGGTGGCAGCCTGCGGTCTTGAGTCCGGATGTATATATACATGGTCAATCGTGAGCCCGCAAAAATGGTCTGCCCTAGCGCCGGATTTCGCTGAGGTAGAAGAGAATGTCTCGTACGTTGAGCGCGAGGATGAATATGACATCCACCCCGCAGAGGAAGTGCATCAGCGTCGTCTAGATTTGGAAGATGAGGAGCCGGATGTCTTAACAATCGAGCCGGTTAAGGGCGAAGAAGAGGAAGATGGAGGTGCATTACATGCTTTCCGCATGCCTGTCTTACTCGATATAAGTGATAGCGAAAGCGAGGATGACATTGTAGCTGTGGGGCCTGGTACGATGCGGAGAAGAAGTCCCGGTGCTTGGAAAGATTCGGTTAATAATAATACTGGTGGTAGTAATGGTAGTGAAAACGGCCTTGCTGCTGTTACGAATACTGGGGCGGGCCGGGGTGGGCAGAATAAGGGTCGACGAAAGTATGGAGAAGGAAAATAATTAGAATCATGGTGTACCATAAACGACTCTAGAGAAAGGATCTATGCATGCACATCTACCTTATATCAATTAGCGATTCAGAGTGTAAATAGGCGTTGATAACTTTGATGATTATTGTTGAATTCTTTATATTTGTCACATTGACTAGCATCTATAACATTGAGGGCAAATAATATAATTAGGACCCCTTTTATATGTACAAGTCACATTCATAATACTGAAACAGCTTTAGTCTTCTTTTTCCACTTTCTGAGAAGCAATGGGATATATATAGTTATATAAATATTTATTTCACTTTGCTTGGCACTTCTTGAACTGAAGCCCCAACACCGGATCCACAATACGGGGGTCCTACGGTTCGAGATACCAATTTCAAAGCAGTGGATTGATTTCAAATTCCCAATAAATAAATATGCGAGGCGGTGATAAAATTCCTCCCGCCCAGCTCTTGAAACTACGTCTGTACCTTACTCGACAACCCAAAAAGCAAAAAGTAGACAGGAGGGAAAGGATGGCAAAGTATATTCGCTGCGTTGCAGATTTTAAAAACACTGGCTTGAAAACAAGAAGAGAAATCGAGTCAAATTTTAACCGGCCAATAGCTAGTTATCGCTTAGCGCCCGACAAAATGGGAACCGGAAAGCCAATTGAACAAAGAAAAACTAAACGCAATTACTTACTGAGTATTTTAAACCAAAAAAAGAGGGCTAAATAAAGGAACAGATGGAAGTTTGCTCTGCTATTCTGGCTTCTCTTCCTTGAATGGAGGGTTTGGAAAGATGAAATAGAAATGGCATTGGGAGACGTCCTTTTTACCAGTGTTGAGAAGCTTAATCATATTGTTTTGTACATGCAAGGGAATAGATTAGAAGACGTATGTCAAGTCGCTGAATATTCTTCACTAAACAGGATGGATTCTAGAGAGGAATTATAGAATGAGGGATGAACTATATACATTTATGTGCAAGCTATGCTATGTTTGAAGAATAAAAAGAGATTTAATGATATAGAAAGTAGATCAAAATCATAGTAAGAAAAGTGTTGCCATATAGATATGATGAATAACATGATCACATCTCACAGCTTATGAAACAAGGAAACGAAAATAGAGAGGGAGAGAGCTAACACAAAGCAGTGACACAAGCAGAAATATAAACAGAGAAAATCATGCAATTATTCTTCCGTCACCTCTGCTGTTTTCAAAACCGATCTATGTGTGTATCATCATTAAAAAACGAAAAATTATTGTTGCTCATGCCCAGAAAGTGGGAAGGGGAAGCTGTAAAAATAGCGTTAAGAGGATAAAGTTGAGAGGGGTGTTAGGCCCAACGGAAGGACGACGGAAATGGAAAAAGTTCAGGGCACAAGAAAGAACCAAGTAAATAAGAGACAATTTTTTTCTTTTTTCTTTTTTTTAAAAAAAGTCAAAACTCGTATGAAAAGGGTACGAGAAAATGTCTCGTGTTTTGGGGACGGATGAGGAACACATATCTCCCATGCAAGTCACAGAAGAAGTAAAGGGGTATTCGTTATCGCACAATGTTGGTTCGGTGGGCAATTATTGTGTTTTGTATATATCGGACAAATCGTTAATCTTGCTTAGACGTTGACCAAAGCGAGAGAATTTCAGGCTGCAATTTTATCTGCATTGTGCGTCCCCGTCCAATATTCCGGATTCTTCTCAAAAATCGAGAGATGTATAGTGTTTCGAATTTGATAACGAGCCCGCCAGACCACCGACTGCTCAAGGGCCATCTCAGTTTCTGTGCTAATAAAGGGTCGGAAGGGCCTCCGCTGTCTCGAGACGGCAGGGACCGTTGGACAAGAAAGATGACAAGTTCGGAACGTCGTGCGCCAAATGTCTGTAGAGCAAGAGTTGCGCGTGGTCAAACTTGCTCGTGCTGAAGGAAGGTGTATAAGAACTACCTGCATAACGGGGGCAAACAATGTGGGAAAAAAAAATATATGTTATCGGACTGGGTTGTCTGGCCGCCTGGCAGTATATACATGCAAAAGATTGTACATCCGGTGCTGTTTATCAAACAACTGTGTTCTTACTTCTTGGGCTAAAGAATCTATTTCTTCGACCGTCCAATGTTTTACTCGGAAGAGAGGGGCCAAAATGAGAGCATATATGCTCTTCGAGAAGGCAAAACTATGCCATTTCCCGACGTCTTTTTCGTACTTATCATCGGGCCACGTGTTCAGTGGTAGGCCAACCATATCGTGCTTCGTGTCCACAAAGCCTGCTTCTTTCAACATATGGGTGGTGCTGCGGTTATGTGCGATCGGTCGGTTCGCCTCATTTGTTGCGTCTTTTAGGTTTTTGTACCATCGAGTAAGTGGCTGGTCAGGAAGCTCGTCATGGCAACGCGGTTCAAAGTCGACTTCCACCTGTTCGAAATATCCAGTCCCAGGACGAAGGTGCTGTATAACCTTCTGGTATAAACTAGGCCAATTCGACACACTTCCACAGCCCATCTGGAGATGAATCATGTCCCATGGCTCCTCCCCAAAACTCCAAGGACTCTCGAAATCTCGAGGGGCCAGAAAGTTACAATTCGGCGGATGCTCACGAGGCTGCATCGCAGTTAGGTCTATTCCTAGAACGTACGCATGCGGGTATTGAGCGGCCATATCCAATGCCCATATTCCCGTTCCACAGCCAAGATCTAGTATTCGAGGGCCTTGATCGACAGCTGATGGCGGGCCACTCCTTAAATTGCCCATGGGCGGCAAGGCATTGCTGATTGGAACAGAATGCAGAGTCCTACGAGCCGCTAAAAGCATTCTATGGAAAATATCCAAGCGATCCTGCTCTGCCTCATCGCACGGATACATGTATATACCTCGGCGAAACTCGTGATACTGCCGTCCGTTCTCCTCGTAGCTGGCATTCCCGTACAGGTTCTGATCCATGTGTCTATGTCCAACAAAACGCTTGTCAGTAATGCAGATAAGAGCACAGCCAATATAATCATCAAAACACACAGGCACCTGGCAACTGTGGATAAGCAGTTTATATACATTTACCCCGCCGCGGGAAACGGTTAGGCCGACAAGGGTTGAAAAAGAAAGAAAACACCAAGAAAGCGGAAAGATACCCAAAACTGATAGAACATACGCAGAAGTAACGTTTCCGAGCGTTTCATGTTGTGGAGAGGGGAAGGCGCCTTTTTTATGGGTCTGCCTTTGTGGTGCGAGATCGGTGAGGGTGGAAAGGTCCATGATAGTTTGGCTGGGGTGGTCGGGTAACTACCGTCCAATGAGATACGGATAGCTGGTATGTCAAACGGGATCTCAACAAGTTCCCTGGAACGCAAACGACCCACGGCAAGAGGGTGTGACCGGAGAGGAGAAGAAGCCGATCAAAGCGAGGGGTGAAAGGGAAGACTGTGTTTACTCTAAACCACACATGGAGCATCAATATATCTATTATCATTTACTATGGTGCAGGGAAGAATGGGGAACAACACAGCATCGCCAGCGTTATGGGGACGCGTGCAGAGGAGTTGTCGCAGCGCTGCTTGGGACGAGGATAAGTTGGAGGGACAGAAATTGGAACCAGAGCCGAGACAAAGGGTGCCAATTGGATGGTCCTTGGGCAACTGGGCGAGTGGCTGGCGGGAGAGGATAATCACACGCAGTCGCTTGGTAGAAATATGCAGCGAGAAAATGGTGGGATGGGATGGACGATGGCACGCGGTTCGGTTTGGTACATGTACGGGACAGGCCGTACAGATGGAACCAGCCTGGGGCTACATGGAAGGTATCGTATGGTACTGTATGGTACGCGGTATTTATATTGGAGCAGCCCGGGTGGAGACGGCCCCGCCAGGAGAAGGAGAGTGAGCAGGGAAGAGGCTGCGGAGGATTGGCGAATAAACCAGGAGAAAGCAGACAGGAGCCAGCAGGTAAGACAACAGGGGCTTGAAGGAAGAATCGAAATGTTGAAGGCATCTTAGCTGACATCAATTTATGAAGACGATCGTCGAGAGAACACCTGCTCTCATTGACAGCCTGGCATTAAGGAGAGGCTTTGTTCTCAACAACCATGAGGCCAGGATGCCAAAACCAGATGCATGATGAAATGATTCCAGGATTGGTGATAAGTGACGGAGACGATACACATAGGTTCGGTCAGGGGTTGAGCCTGACAGCGTGGAACTGGCTATGTAGTCCATGTATCTTGCGAACCGTGGTTAACTCCGAAGACGTCAACAATATATTCTAATACGTAGAACCTCATTTGGAGGAAGAGAAGAATTCCTGCATCATGGCACGAGGCAGCCAACATCCAGAAACAAGCGAGAACTCTCACAATTATCCGAGTCTAGCCCATCCTTTCTTTTCGCTAACGCACAAATCCCCACCGTCGTCCTATCACCAGAGCTAAATGAAGCAAAGCAGATCGGAGGACGGAACCAATATTTATTATTATTATTATTATTATTATTATTATTATTATTTATATGTTTCCCCCAAGAAATTGATATCTGCTGCTAATGAGAACCAGAACTAATTTTACCAAGAGGGAGTCGATTCATATCATTTTTGAGTCATTGTTTTAACTAACTATCGCAAGGAGGTGACTAACGGGATGTAGGTCAGTGTATTGCATGCATTAGCAACTTCTCGGGGAAGCGATTGGCTGACGCATTTGGCTGGAACAAAAAGTCAACGATGTGAGCAGCCGCAGTTTGCTGTCAACCATCAACGAGGGAGAGAGAAACATCACCCGCCAGCCTTTCACATGCATGTATGTATCATATCAGCGCAGTGGCCCCCATCCAAAATCCCGGTGGAGTGGTCATTGGTTGACGCTTGTAAAGTTATGTCACCACACCCTCTGCTTGATTTTCTCTGGTTGTATTTGTTGGGGCATTGTATGCAGGATGATACGGCTAGTACGCCAAAGGGGCAGGGTAGCAGCTTATGGAGTCCTCGGGGCTGACAGTTTGAACGTGGTTTTGAAATTCGGCTGGGGAAAACCTCCGGCGTGGTTGAACTACATCCACTAGCCCTACCTTACATCTCTATATGCATACTGATGGGGGTGATTTATCATATTTCTCAGGTTCCTTAACCTTAAAAATAACCCTAACCCTAACCTAATCTAACCTACCTGCCCCGGATATTTATTTTAGATGGAGTTTGATCATGGTTTTCAAAAAAAAAAAGCGGCACAACTTATAAACCACATTCAACTTTTTTAACACCATGATCAACTGTAACCGCTGTCAACATATCATTGGGCGGTATGCGCGTTGAGGGGCTGAAATCCATTGCCCAAACAGGGGAACATAGTGATCCACGTCGAGCTCTGGAGAAAAAAAAAGCCAGCTCGAACATTCCCGACCCCAAGAGTGGCTGCCACATCCAGCAGGGTTCATTATTGTAGGCAACCATATATGAACTGGGCCTTTGACTTTTCGACTCTGTCAACCCTTCCAGAGGCTTGAATGCCAAGTTTTGCCCAGGTACTGCCCAATACTATGGGAAACTTGACCTCCAGTCTAGCATGGCCATAGAATTTGGAACACTGAGTGCTAATAACATGTTCCGCGGTTCATCACTCTGGATTAGTGGGTCTTGCCGGAAGTCAAAATGCCCTTTCGCCCAAACGACGATCATATTCTCCAATAATAGTGACAAGCGTTTCTTCGCGGCCTTATTGAGTTTGCAGGGGCCGTGAATATATATATATATATATATATATACCAAGAGCTCAAGATTTCGGTCGAAATAGATCGAGTTTGAGACATTCTATCTTCAGCTTTCGGGGGTAGGAATTTGGCTAGGAATAAGTTGTGGGTATGTATGCACTGGCAAGGACACATTATCATCCATGAACAGGTGTACGGAGTGGACATTTGGAGCAACTCTGGAGTGTTGTTGGCGACCGTTTGGGTTCTGATGTTTCACTAAAACATGGGTGTCTGTTGCCATGTTATTTATTATTGAAGTTTCTCACGTGAAGCTAGCAGTGAACTTTACCAGCTCCGTGTGACTTGGCTTGGGCACCTGACCCAAGTACCTCGTTTCTAAAAGCTGTGAATGTTGACGTATCAATTCCGGGGATATTAACTTAATGTAAGTTTCTCTGAATTGCACCGATTGTGAGAAGTGGGGTTATATAGCGTGGAAATCGCCCGCTGGCTGGCGTGTATGATAATCATGCAAGTTTCTAGCCCTGCTTCTGCTCATTTTTAATTGTCTCATTGTGGGAGCCTTGTTGAACATTCAAAAGAACAATACCACGGTCCCCAGCCGTGCATTCTGATTGACAAGAGAAGAGAGAGGCCAGATACAACACTGAAGCAGTTGGCACTTCCTTGCTCGAGCTTTCTTCTCGTCTATCACCACCTCTTAGGAAAAGAAAGAAAAAAGACCAAATGAATGATAGCGATCAGCCGCTATTAATGATTCCTCAACCACTTGTAACCAATGTTCCCCAGTATTTAGGCTGTGATTAGCAAATGGTGGAACCTCTTCCTTGCATCGCGGAGGAGGGCCTTTGTGGTATTTTGTGTTCTCTTCTTAAAGATAGAGTCCAGGTCTAATATTATTGTTGCTAATAAGGTTGCAAGCTATTGCAACCCTTAGGGCGATGATAGCGTGGGGTTAACTCTCTCCTGATGGAGGACAATCTTCCCGCAGCATGCATCGCTTGGAATGACAGCGGTACGGAGGTTGTGGATGACATGGCCGTCATTATCATACAATCAACTCGTCTTCCCTCTGCCCTTCGAAGGAGAAGAAATCATGGAGGTCACGATGAAAGAAGTTGAAGTTGAAGCTGAAGTTGAGGTTGAGGAGACTGATATCACAAAGAGAGGGGGAAGATGGATAAATAGGCGATCCCCAGCCATCAATACCTCTTGGTACGCCCCACTGATCGTAGAGTAACTACTAAAACCTCGGTAACTACATTATACAGACCGGTACTTTGTCCAAGGCGCACAACCGCAATCCATCCAATGCTGCGTTTAACGAATCTACTCAAACCGATAACCTTGGCGGGTTGGGCGGGGGGTCTCCACATTGGCTATCAGTGAGAAACTCGCTTGCTGGGTGGCTTTCCGTCCCAACGTGTCGGATCACCAATCAACACTAAATGCAGCGGACCGCCAATGGCCCCAGCGCCCTGGCCTAACCAGCTCATGGATCATGAACCTGCAGACGGTTGGTACCAAACATTCTGATTACCAGCACTCGGTTCGATACTCCGGATTGATTCATTAATACAGCTAGGTATCGCCGTTTCCTTCACCGATACGCTTCGGCCTAGGGAAACTTTCGTCCAAACTTACATTACCGCTGTATGAACGGTAGCGAAACCGTATATGCGGTATGATTACGTACATTTACATTACATGGAACAGCATGCATAAGCGTACCCAAGCAATGTCAACAGGTGAACTGTCAAGAGGTAACTATCTTGTATGGAGTACGGCATGCTTGCAGTGTTAGCTCAGCTATATCGTGGGAGAATTTGTGACCTTCCAGCAATATTAATAACAGTTCCATCGGGCTGGGAAATCCAACGGCTTCGGCTGCATTGTGTGGACTTGAACCGAGAAAACCCAATTTTTTCTTCTTCTTTCCGATCATTCATTATATGTGACAATCAACCCCTATCCCACGCTGTCAATCAACAGACAAAAGTTCATGCCAGCCTGCATATATTGAACGGACTATTCTCGAGACTTGATTGGTGTGATGTCAAATGGCCTCCCCATCACAGCGACTATTGCACCAGAAAGGCCAGTCATCTCTCTCCCTTCCTGCTGGAAACTACATCTACTCTCTGTGTCAGAGCGGTGATGATGCGTTGGTCGCGATTTCATCGGATAACTCGCTACGGTGCTTTGATCGCCAGACATTAAATATCCTTCCTGACGGGATTTTCGAAAACATCCATCCCGGTCGCGGTGGCGGGGTGACTTGCGTTTGTGAGGTCCATACCACCGCGTTTGGAGGGAAGAACCTGGTTGCTACTTCGGGTAGAGATGGGACGATAAAGCTGTGGGATGTCAGGGATAAGAGGACAGATGCAGCCGTAAAAGTCACTGCAGGTAAAACAACGATAATTCAACAACTCATACCTAGACACCGTTTTTAGCCCCCTTTTCTCCCATGTCCTAACCTCGATATAGCGCTGATCAATACCCCCTGCAGATGAGTCGGCACCTATCACCGCACTTGACTGTAGCCTAGAACCATGCACAATTGTCGCTGGCACCGAATTTGTGTCATCACAATCCTCAGTGATATTTTGGTAAGTTAGTTAGGTTCACTGTGCCGACCATCGTCCTGCGAGGCTGAGGTAGCCACAGCTTCAGGGGCGAATTGGGCTATTATCAGTTCCTTGTTACCTCCCTCCCCCCGAACACAACTGCACCAAATCATGGATTTTTACGTTGTCATTGCTGTGGCGGTTGGTGTAAAGGATATATGCTGCACGAACCCCTCCTACCTATTTAATGCATAATACACGCACTCTGTCTCGTATAGATTAACCAACCAGTATCAGGGACATAAGATCTCCTGGGCAGCCCCGTTTGCAATACACGGAGAGCCACAACGATGATATAACTGAGGTAATTTAACTTTGCTCTCGTGTTTTGTCATTCAACTACTGATATCTTTTCGCGTTCCCCTTTTGCGTTCGTTCTGGGGTCTGCTGTTGGCAGTAAAACATTTACAAATCCCCCTCCATTCTCCCCCCCCTCTACTGATCCATTAGTAGTTGCAATTTCACCCTACTCGACATAATATCCTCCTATCGGGAAGCACAGACGGACTAGTCAACATCTATGACACAACCATTTCGGACGAAGACGACGCCATTCTACAGGTCGTTAATCATGGGTCGATCCATCGAGCTGGTTTCCTGGATGAACAGGCGATCTTCGCCCTAAGTCATGACGAGGTCTTCTCAATCCACCCTTTGAACAATCCCGGCGAGAACGCTCCGGATCCTGCAGCTATCCAGTTTGGTGATCTCCGTCCTGTACTACAAAACGATTATGTTGTGCAGGTTCTTGATGGACATGGGGGTACATTTGTGGCCTCCGGGAAAACGAGGTTTGAATCCGGTTCCCCTTGCATTTTCTTTTTCCTTTCTTGACACCAAGATCTTGTGTCTGCGATTCCTCACAGAATATTCATCCCCCCCTCTTTTTCCTTTTGTGGAGTAACTATATCGAATTTTGTGCTGATTCTTTATCAAGTGAACAACGGTTCGACCTCACACCCCTGATCTCGTCACCCAAGTATGACCTCGACCTCTCCAAGAGGTGGATAATGCCGGGGGCCCATGGTGAAGAAATTGTTCGATCAGTATTGCTGGATGATAATGTGTGTGGGGAATGAACTCTTTCGTTTCCTTCACATTTCTGTTATCCTTATTTTCCCGTGCACTCTTTTCAGCCTACTGGAATCCGATTCTAACAACAAAAACAAATCCACAGTCAAAAACGATTTTCACCTGCGGAGAAGACGGGCACGTCCGTGCGTGGAAGCTCAACGAGAGAGACCAGGAAGAAGTCAGGCATTCACCATCGAAAGTTCCCAGCAAGCACACTACGCAGGAAGACATGGAGCGAACGAAAAGTCATCGATCGAAAACAAAAGTTCGTAAAGAGAAACGGCAAAAAGAGTGGGGATTCAAACCATATTAAGCTTTCACGCGACTTCTCTGCATGTGTCCTGCTACGCTTTGCCCTTTCAATAAAAGTAGGTTTTAATCAAGATGCACATTTGACTTTTGCGCAGCATATAGAAACGTGGTCTAAATGTCCTTCGTTCTTCATTGTCCCATCTGCGGCTGTCAGCTGGAGATGAAGGTTATTTTTTTCATTGCCCTTTCACCTGTAAAATAAAAAATGACAAATGAGAAAGGGACAACGGAGGAGAAGAGATTCTAAAAAATGCTTTGATTACCCAGGGTGAAAAATACCTGTCTTCCAAATTTTCGACAAAGCATGATTTTACTCTGATCTGTTCTGTTACTACTGACTTCCTGCAAATATTTTGCGGCCCTCATCCCATTAAACAGCAACCCTCTCATTCTCAAATAAACCATGGCAAAATGAAAATACGAGCTGCAGTCATATCTTAACAATTTAAAAAAATAATAATAAATAAACACACTTAGCAAACACGCCGGCCTACCATGCCTAGTTTCTGCGCCTAATCACCTCATTAATGCGGAAGGGATAAACTAATCCAGATACGTCGGCGGAGGATGGAGTAACTTGTGTATCGTCATCCGCTCTCTGATCTCCTTCTAATGCTCGAGTTGCATAATGGAATTAAACATGAAATAAGGACAGGATTTCTAAGATCCAGGGAATCCAAAATGTCCAATTCGGTAAATGATATTCTGCATACGCGCTGATTACGGGTACATAAATGCATAGATACCCCGATGTAACGCATGAGCATGCTAACTACCTATGAAAAAACTGTGATGTCCTTGCTCTGTGGTACTGGAGGTTGTTGCCTTTAAGTATATGACACCTCAATCAATCCCTTAGATATTGATGTGGCGCCTGTAGCTGGACGACGGGCTGGGTTGATATGTAAGATATTTCAAATTCAATAGTTACCAAGAGGTCAGATTACGGAAGAGAGTGCCCGAAACAGAATTCCCGTTCTCCCCACCCAGTAAATCGTGTGCAAGTCGCCTGTAAGGGTAATCCTTGAAGGGTAAAAAGAACTAATATATATTTCTGTGACGTGGATATAGAAGGATGCGCTACTTTTTTAAAAGCTCACGGGTGCCAAGTTTTCGTGCATATTGGAGTAACTACCGTAAACTTCCTCCAGATCTATGCGGCCATGGATAACTAATGGCGAAGTACGGAGGCGTATATGAGGTGCGTGTGGAAGAAGGTGGGCGATTCGATGTAACCCACCAAATCGGAACTGCAAGGCTCACAAAATTTACCTATCCCACTTCGTTTATCACTAGTTAACGGTGGTATATAGAGAATCCATTTTTGCAATTCATTGGAACTGTTCATCTCATCATTTATTATTATGATTTCTGAAAACCGTCACTACCACGTCATAATCATCCATCCTTCTCTGAGATACTATTTTCACAATTTATTCTTCTTAATATAAATGGCTTGTGCATTGCAGAAGCTCTTCAAACCACCAATACCACCCTCGTAGCCGATGCCACTCTCCTTGTGGCCTCCGAATGGCGCGAACAGAGACATCTCCTGGTGGGTGTTGATCCATACCGAACCGGCTTCGATCTGGTCCCCAATGCGTCGTGCCTGGGTCAGATCATTGGACCATACAGAGGAACCTAGTCCCATCTTGGTGTTATTGGCAGCCTCAATGACAGCAGCTTCATCATTCCAGGGAATAAGTGGGACAATTGGACCTATGTGTTTGTTAGCGACATTTCATCAGTATATCGTTGACGGTAGGAAGGGAGCGAATATGATTAACGAGAGGTTCTCCGTTCACGAGGGAATCAAAACTGGGTTAAATTTCCGTATGTTAACTGACCAAATGGCTCTTCAACAACAATCCTCGAGTCAGCGGGCGGGGCATCAATGATAGTCGGTTGGACGAAGTATCCTGGCTTCCGAAATTCTGCATTTCCGCCGGCAGCAACAGTCCACTTCTCCTTCTCAATATCGGCGAAGAATCCCTTTACTCGCTCGTACTGCATTGAGTTCTGAATTGGGCCAAGGGCTACTCCGTCCTCATTACCCTCACCGACAACCAGGCTGTTAGCAACGCGACTGACGGCTTCGCGGAATTTCTCATAAATGGACTCATGAACATAGATCCGTTTAATTGCAATGCAGATCTACAACGGTGTACCGTTAGTTTTCCCACTACCAATTTCTCCAGCGGATCGGGTGATATTCATGAAATACCGCAGCAAGGAAACTGCAAATTGACATACCTGCCCAGAATTCATGAATGCCATCATTGCGACCTGGGTATTTCCGGTTAGTCAAACGATTCTTTGATGAAATGTGTGTGTTGATAAAGTAACCTTTTGTGCCACAGCTTCAATATCGATATCGGCGCAGATGATGGCAGGGTCATTACCGCCTCTATAAGTGAGAGTATAATTCAGCTTCATAAATTTCAATCACGAGCAAAAAACACAAGGTCAATATCATACAGCTCAAGTGTCACTCTTTTCAATGTCTTGCTTGCACTTTCCATGACCTTCTTCCCCGTCATGGATGAACCCGTGAAGCTGATTTTGGCTGGTCCCGGGTGTGCTGTCAACCAGGGTCCCAGACTATCGTCACCGCTAAGAGCCTGGATTACGCCAGGAGGGAAGGCCTTCTGCGCGATCTCAACAAGTTTCAATCCACAATAGGGGGTGAATGGCGATGGCTTGATAATGATAGTATTTCCGGTAATGACGGCGGGTAAAATTTTTAGCAACGCAAGGGCGAAGGGAAAGTTCCATGGGACAATGCCAACAACTACACCTAGTGGTGTGTAGCGGACAATGACCTGCCTATCGTCGGAGTCTTCAACAGTTTCGTCCTCTAGGATAAGATTGACTCTACCTCTAATACTAGCAATTCCACTCTGGATCTCCATGGTAGCAAGGGTTACCTATGTTAGAGAGAGATGGGGAGAGGAGTGAAATTAGCTCTAACTTGTAGTCTGGGGCAATGTATATCTTCCAGCAAAGGGCAAGGGCATCATACAGGTTTTCCTTGCTCCCGCACGAGCAGTTTGATGAACTCATCTTTATGTGCCTCCAAAGCATCGGCAAAGGTCAAGAGGGCTTTTTTCCTCTCTTCGATTGAAGTTTTGGACCAGAGTTTGAACGCAGCTTTTCCCGCCTCAACGGCCTTGTCAACATCGGCGGGGGTAGAAACTGGCACTTCTGGATTGGGGTTGCCAGTGGCAGGATTGATGCCATGGCGGGTTTGTGCAGTGGTGGACAGTTTTCCCCCAATCACATTCTGAAATGTGGTAAAGTCGATAACGCTTCCCATGACGATTTTATTTATTTGTATTCAAAAAAATATTTGCTGTGGTGACAAGGCCTGTGGTGGGTTGAAATGATAAAAGTTGAGGCCAGGACCAGAATGTTAATGGGTCGTAAGATGGTGGTGATGTCTGAAATCGAAAAGCGGGGAGGGGGCATGAAGTTCCAGCACAGTCCAGGAACACGAATTAATTTGCGGTTTAACCAACCTCGGACCGAGAACTTCGGAGACCTAAGCTTGTGGGTCAATATATTTCCAGACGATGGCGTTTTGCTGCGGAAGAGAACCGGATGATTTTTGATGGGCAGGCTAAGGATGGAGGAGCCACTAACTAGTTGCCTAGGGATATACCGTATCATGCCGCTTTCTGGACAATATAAACCTCCTCCTCCCGCCTCTCGAACATCTTCTCTCTATCGTCCATATTTTCCCTTTCTTTCCTCATAATTCTCCTGCCTTGTGTGCCCATCCCTTCCCCTTGGCCCCACTGCTAGTGTCACCCGGCCTGGCTGTGCCGCAGCTGGAACTGTTCTTGATATGGTGACTATGTCCACTTCCCTTCTTCCCTGATGCAATTTCGCCTCGCTCTACTCTCAAGTTACCCTAAAATTATGCACAGACTGAGCCCCTCCACTGGGATATCTGGTTTGCCCAGGACTGTGGCTGGCTGAGCTGCTGTTGCATGACAATCATCTAGCATTCCTTCAGTCAGTACTACAGTTTAGAAAATAAAAATTGAGAGAGGTTACAATCTTCCCTTACTTTCTGCATGGACAGCGGCTAGTATTGTAAGGTGGTAGATGACACTCATTTTCCTTGTTTTATCAGGATTTGGCTGATCTTATCTTCATCGTGTCAACATTTCTGAATCACGGTGATTCTTCCTGCGGGGAGAATGTGATGGAAGTGAGCAGATAGAATGGCATCGGCAGGATTTCTCTCATTCACCTGTGTTGAGAATGTCATAAAACATGAAATATGTCATCTTTCTGATCAAAATTGTCGCTTCAAAAAAATATCAGAGCACTATGAGAACAGCAAGCACACTTCATATCTCATCATTGCAAGCAGCAATTCCAACTCTTCACTGACTACAACACTCTCTGCTGAAACATGCTGCAGCATGTGAGATTTCAGATAGGTACAACAGCTCTGAGTTGTCAGTTCAAAATTTGATCAGTGCTTGAACAAGAATCCTTGGCAGTGAGTGTCTATGATCTCCAGAGGTCACTCAGATCAAGTCCGTCAACTATGAATCAACTTCTGTCATGATTGTCTGCCTGTGCCTTTCTCACTCAGCTGACAGTGATTCTGAATCATCATCAGACAATCTGATTGATCTAGATGATAGAACAGATGAAGAACACAGCACAGAACCTCTCATTGAAGGATTGAGAATCATCATTTCTTGAAGATGACATCAAGTGTGATAGTGAAAGATGAAAGAAACAGCAAGGCAATGTCAATTCAGAACTTGAAAGAGAAGTCACAGATGCAGTTACAGTCAGAATCACACTTCACAGAACTCACTCAGTCAGTATCAGAGCCAGAGTCAAAGACAGTCAATGCAAGTGAATGTCAGTTTTCTCAGATACTGTGGGCTGCAGAGAACATATATTAATGGATACAGAAGATCTCAACTGCACTGACAGTGACAAAAAGAATGTTGAATCATTGCTGCCATGATTCATCTCTGATGCACTTCCAGATAACATCTCTGAGAATGGACCCTTGAAGAAAACTCATGCTACAGTTGATGACTCTTTTGCATGTCATCTTGAGCCAGACACAAGCGGCCCACATATTCTGCTACATCATGAGGCTAGGGAAGAGCATCTTGAATTTCTCCTGTGGGCGCTCATATGGCAGTCAGAGGATGATGTTATGAAGGTTCATCTGAATCAGCTCAAATGATACAAGGAGAGGTTGGATGTTGGGCTTGCAAGAAGGGCCTCTCAGGAGAGAAAGTGAGCACAGTCCTCTTTTCCAGAGCCTAGGAGATCGTCATGTCAGAAAAAACCACAGCAGTGCTAAATATAGGTTCAGTAGATGGAAGTCAGTGAATTACCCTTGTTTCATTTTTGTCTTGTATGCTCGTCTTGCCAGTATATCTTGAGAATAGAGAATATGTAATGTGAGGCCATGCATTTACCTGGATTGTAAGGTTGAGTGATTAGAATATATCCAGCCAACACTGAACACTATGTATATGGTATTCATTTTGGAATACTTCAAGTATAAAAACTCTAGCGGAGGAGTGGTGACTTGATTTTATCACTGGTCAGATGATAAACCTCTTTCTGAGCTGTCCCACACCAGTACATTTGCAACAGTAGCAGCTCACATACAACAATCCTCCAGAGACAAGATCATATACATCGAATTCCATGTCATCAATGGCCAAGATCTCATTCTTTTACATCAAAGGTGAAGACAAGAAGCTGCGCGTGTAAGGACTATCCAATATGCAGCGGTACGTATGTGGGTGCGAGGGATAATTTCACACAAACTCATCCAAGCCAGGCATCTTTTAAAGTTTCGGGTTCGCTAAGCTTCATACCATTGTCCTAAGCAGTGAATTAACCCTTGAATCCGGTGCGCCTGGCATTCCCACATGCCATCTGAAATCCTTTTAGTATTGCAGACTTCAGGATACCCTGACGCCCAGCTCTCAACTCTAGCCTACGAAGCATCCCTCGTCCGGCTTGATAGTCCTGCAAGGAGGCTTGATGCACTCGAATTCCAGTGGAAACTCCTGAAAAAAGATATTCAAATCCGCCAGCTTTCATGTTGCCTCGTTTATAAGTTGCAATTGTGCTACTATAAGACTTTTTCAGCATGCTGTTTTCCCAACCGTGATGGGCACATTGCCAGATAGGCACGTAGAAGAACAACTCAAGATCATGATGATAGGTATGGTCGACATTAAGCAGCACCTCGATCGCCATGAACTCCATCATGCCGGTCTGGTGCTGTGCGCCGCTGCGCTCGCTGCCAAATTCTTTGGCAAGGTCCAGATCAATTAGCATGCCAGAGTGACCATCCGCCTTTTCAGGGTCAGTTATTATTATGTTTTTCTCAGAAATATCCTGATGAAGGATGTTCCCATCCGGGTAAAGAGACGGGTGCGCCTTTTATTGCATTGTGAAGTGCCATGAGCAGTTCCAAGGGTGATTCATACTTGTAGATGTACCGGCCAGTGGGTCATATCACCAGACAGCAGAGGATACGGTTGTCATAGGGTTCCTTGCCATTCATGTCAAAGGGGCTTGGCTCGTGCGCTGACTGAACGGAGAAAGCTAGTTCATTCTCCTGCTGAGTGGCCTTCGACGGTTGATTAATGCGGAACGTGATCTTTTGGACGCCTGCATCCCCTTGTCCGGAGATCTGCGTTTCCTGGAAGATGATTTCGACAGATATCCAAGCAACAGGGCTCGGTGAGCGGCTGAGATTGATGAAACAACAAGGCTGCAGTTGGAGGTGCGCTTTTGAAGTTGTGATCCTTGTCATCGAAGGTCAGACCAGCCTAAGAAGTGTGCATTTGAAGGCTTCAAAGGCCGTAAGTAGTGGTGTTGCTGACCTTTCATCTGAAGGCAGCCCGTCAACCAAAAACATCACTGTGTCACTGAAGAAGCCCGTTCAGACTAGGTGCAGTAGTAGTTATAAGTTTCACTTATTTTGCCCCGCACACGATCAGCTTCCTGGAAGAAAGTCATGGTTAGTGTTTGGCTATGGTCTAACTTGCCGTAAATTGTAGATCACTCACTAGGGAGTCTGCGAGTTGAGACACCATCAGCTCTTCATCCTCAATACATCCTTGTTGCCTTTCAGTAAGGCTATCTGCGTGGTAGGTCTGAGCTCTGTCAAAGTTTACCCAGATCACTCTTTCCGGGTCATTCCTGACAATCATCACGTTCCTAGATTTGACGTCACAATGTAGAACTAACGCTCTGTGAATCTCTCGGATGCCACAGGTCAAAGCCTCTCCCAACTCCTTTGTAAAATAGTGCGGATGGATCATTTCCATTCTAGGAATGTTCCCCAAGAAGATGGCGCTTGGAGGATTCTTGTCATTAAGAAACATCTTCAGGTGAGGTTGATACTGGAATAAGTCCATCCGTTCCATTGTCCCATAGAACTGAGGCACGATTCCGCGGTCGCAAAGGCCGTACTTCATCAGTCGTCTGTAGGCAGTCGATTCGCAGATGTGAATGTTTGTTTCACACTCCTTGAATGAGCTGCTTGTCATGATGCTGTCTCATATGTTAGAATGAACCAACGTTTTGAAGAGCTGAAGATCACAGACCACTTTCCTTCCTTATGCATATCTTTGCTGCGAACATGAACAAGGAATATTTCTGAGAATTCTGAACTGAAAAGCTTTCGCTTAAATGTTATCTCAGAGGGGTTTCAATGTCACTAAAGTCCATTGTGCTGTGCTGTGCTGTGTTTAGAACTTCGAGTTTGTGGGGAGATGAACCTTAAATGCGGCATAAATGGGTGTTTGTACCATTTCCCCGCAGCAGTCGCCAACCCTAACAACCCTAATCAAAAATCTTCCCCGCATCTGTACACAACTTACAGCAGTCCACCTTGCAACATAAAATGACTTCTTACCCCTCTCCTTTTCAATCAAAATGGCCCAACGTCAAAAAGCATCAGACGTCAAGCGTCGAGCGAAGCCAAACATCAGGAAAAGAGCACAAGGTGAGCCACCCATGTTTCGACCGGCTGAGCTGCCTTTTAACTGACCATTCATTATAGGGAAGCAGCCTCGAGGCGTCGAGAAAAAACAACCACAGAGACCTGTCCGCCGAAGCGCACGCCTGGGTCAGAAGTCATGGGGCGGAAACGCGCAACAAAACCATCCTTATACCACTCTCAAGGAAAAGGTATGTTCCCTTACTCCTACGACTCTACGAAACTAACTGAAAAGCCAAATCTCAGCAAAATCCGTCTGCCTGTCCGCAGGCTAAAGGGCTAAAAAGGAAGAGACTTCAAGAAGCGGAAGACTTGTTCTGCATTCCAGCCAACCAATTTCAAAAGCGACTACGAACAACTACCACTGCGGACACAGCGGATCAGGAGGCGGCACTCGGCGTCTACGATGACAAGATTAATCCTATCCATTGGTGGACGCAGAGCGGAGTCTGGTCCCACGAATACTTCCAAGAGGGCTACAACATGAGCCATCTACTTGCACGAAAGAAGCCGACATCTTCTCTTCTCCGCAAACAGTCAAAATCTAGTTCTGCCGCCAGCTCTACCGCCAGCTCTACCGCACCCAACGATCAAAAGTCAAGGGAAGAAAAGGATGCTCAATACAAGAATCCGCGCTATGAAGTCCTGCTTCAAACCAAGGGTAGCTTTATGAGGAAGTCGGACCTGGGTATAACAGATGGAGGCAAAGATCTTTGTTGACGCTTACTCGAGGCAGAGCAAACGATCCCAAAAGATTCGCTCTTTAGAGATAATATATTTGATGAACTTTGTGAAATGATACGGAACCGAAACGAAGCCAAGGTTATTCAAGATGTTACTCGGCTGATAGTCCCTTCTGCACAAACTCTAGCTGTATATGGCGCAAGACATCTCAAGATCCTGGTTGAAAGCGTCAATGAAGGCTGGGATAACTCAGTCTCCATAACTAAACCGCGTCCGCAACCTGATTATTCTGTTGGTTTTGGACGTGAAGCATTCACGGATGGCCAGCTGCAGAGATTTCAGCCTTTTGTTGGTGATCTGACTGACACATCATACTTTATGGCGACATACTACCTGTACTTCCCATTCTTAACATGCGAAGTTAAGTGCGGCGCAGCGGCACTCGATATCGCAGATCGACAGAATGCCCACAGCGCCACTATTGCAGTGAGAGCTACTGTTGAGCTATTCAAGCTCGTGAAGCGTGAAAAAGAGGTCGACCGAGAGATACTCGCCTTCTCAATCTCGCATGACCATACTGCAGTGAGGATCTACGGTCACTATGCTGTTCTTGAAGGAGAGAAGACAAATTTCTACCGCCCCCCAATCCACAAGTTCGATTTTACCGCTCTGGATGGCAAAGGGAAATGGACAGCGTACAGATTCACGAGAAATGTCTATGATATATGGATGCCAACTCATTTTAAAAGAATCTGCTCCGCAATTGATCAGATACCCCCTGACGTGGATTTTGACATCTCGCAGTCGGAACTTAAATACTCCCAACAATCCAACACCGAATCGGTGCTCGCGGTCGAGGATGATGACAGCCAGCCAAGTCAGCGCTAAATCGACTCGGCAGGTGTTACGCCAACTGCCTCCTTTACAGAACAGACACAGATATTCAAAAGGCCAAGAAAGAAGCAATAACTTAGATCTTCGCTTCCCGTTTTTACACCTTAGGCCTTGTTACAACCATAACCATAAGTAAGGTTGCTTGTTGAAGCAGGATGTCATTGTCGTCACTGGTTTTATAGAAACTACTCTTTTAATCTGCGTATGAAGGACCGCCGTGTTTAGTCAGGGTTGAAGGAGGTCGACCCTGTGCATTCGGGGAATGTAGGGAGGTCTGTATCTACAGCAGCCTAATTTAAATGTATAGCCATACCAGAACGCTGCGTGGTCACAGGAGAGGCACTGCATTAGCCAACGATTTCGAGGACACTAAATGGATTGCTCGCTACTTGATCATTTATCACGTAACCAACTTAGTTACAGAATGCAGACATAAAGAATCAATTAATCAAGAATAAAATAGTTTTGCATAGGAACCAATCACCAGCTGCAAGTCCTCGAGAGGGAAGATAGGTGAAGATGATCAACAGAACCTCGGAGATCCACCGAGTAGATGACGGCCTGCTCAGGTATGCCATCAGGAGGTTTATGTAGATGTTTTTATTAGGGGTGTTTTTAATAACTTTTCCCCCCTTTGACTTTCTAATCTTTTTAAGCTTCTGTGCAACTGCGGGGAATTCATGACGTTCTGATCAGAACAAAGGCCAGCAACCGAATTACTCCCATGAGTTTGGTCATATAGAACACTGAATAGCAGGATTATCGTGTCAATTTATCCCTAAGGGTGAAACCGAACTGCATTCATGTTTCTCGGGATGTGAGGGAATGGAATACACCATCTGAAAACAATTTCCAGTGGGCATGGATTATTCGGAATCATGCTTTGTTCCCAAGATTTGACACCACTCAATGCCTCTGGGAGAATGCTAAGTCTCAACTCCTGTTACCTGACAATAGACGCCGTGCTCGGGGATGGATTGATTAAGGAAAATTTGCTTAATCTTGGTAGATAAATAACCATCTCAATCCACCCATAAGATAACTAAAACTATCATCATAGAGCAAGAGGTCTTTGTTGAAAATCATTGGCCTTTCCCTGCCCACGATTAACTGTAGTCAGCCTGGTTGAGTTGAGACAAATGCATTTTTGTGTTCTCGTGTCTCCAACTTATCATAAAACAATCCCCGCATATTAAATCCTTAACTAAACAGCTTCCCAAGATTGTTGCATTCCAGGCACCGAGATTCCGCCTCATGAATGTTTGGTTGCGGGGTTAGTTATGAGGTTGAGCTTATCGGCTGCTTGTGGTGCCATTAGCGGGCGGCTGTGCCCCAATCTCTCCAACCAGCCAGCCAACCACTGGCAGTCGGAGAGCTCAGATCTAGCTGGCACAGCTTGAATCTCAGCTAATATTCCGTCTTCCAAGTCATTTCTGGCTTGGATCCAACCAGGAGCAACTTGCTTCAAGCAGGCAGGAGGCTTTAAGGGCTAGAAAATTTCCAATCCCTGTTGCCGTTGCTCCATGCAGAGTTTCTTAGCACAAGAGCCAAAATGCCAAACCAGCCCCGGAACTTAACTAACCTTTGGAACTACACGGCTGCCTGGGTGGTAATGGAGCTTCAGTTCAACCTTGCGGGACGCCGTTAGTGGTTGTCATCGTGATGGAGCTTGGGTGAGGCCCCAGGGATATGAAGTCGGAAAGTTGACGAGAGGCAACATGATTTTGCCTTGTGAAAAGAAGCCGAATTTTGATGGTATCTCGTTATCCAATGGCCTTGCGATCGGCTTATTTTGAAAGTGTCTCGGAACCTTTCCTCCCTGAGCACGAAAGCATGCACGACATATACTAGCAAAACCCCGTTGTCACATTGTGTCAGGAGGAGATAACTTAATCATGCTTGGGGCTTAAAATCCTGCCGTTCCCCCTCTCCTTTTGTGATCACTTTTCTTTGACTTTTGCACATGAACGTTGTTGATATTTTCTATTATTTAATCAGTCGTTGCAGTTCGCATTATTTGACTCGATTCGCTTGTCAGTTTATTCTCAACCTGCAATTGCTCTATTAGTCGGTATAACTAGTGTTATACATAGAGGAGACTCATTGTACGTGATTCAAGATTTATTTTTTCATTGACCAGGCGGCTAAACTCCCAATTACAGGCATCTACCACTCGAGCTCCCCATCTTCAGTTCTTACTGTGTCCAAAATGAGAGTGGACGTTTCGGAAACTATCTGGAAGTGGAGGTGTAAGATGACCGGTGCCGGGCAAGATGATGTGACAAAGTTTTCAGTTACGAAGTTATCCTCCGAAAACACGGAGATACAGGCCACCAACGAAAAGGAGTTCGAGCAGGGACTAGATGCGGTTGTCAAGACTCTGTATGAAGGCAAGAATGGCAGGGAAGGTTTCTATGACTGGCAGGACTATCCACCACGGCAACAAATGAGCAAAAAAGCTGCCAAAGAAAACGACCGCGTGGCCATCGTCGTCTATAAAGTCAAAGATCTCTCAAAACCTGTGATATCCGGCCGCTTCAGCTTAAAATACCACTCTATTGGAATCCAAAGTCCGGTTCTCATCTCAGCTCTCAAGGATATCCTGAAAAAGGAGGAGATTTATCTTGAAGGTTCGGAAGTTGCGAAGTTCGAAGACCCATTCACGCCTTTATACTTTCGATCGGATGAGATCACTGAGATGTACAAAACTGCAGAGCCGGGAAGCGTTCTCAGAGCCCATGCTGAGCTTTTGTTGAAGCTCATGGGGGACATGTTTAGTGAAACGAAGATTCGAGTTAAACGATTGCAAGAGAGTGGGCTCGTATCATGGGCACTTGCATGGGCTTACTTTCCGAGGGGCTCATATTTGTATAGTTGGGATGCCAATCGTGAAATTCTATTACAAGTCCTCGATACTGTCTACAGAACTGAAGGATTTAAGCGACATCTCTTGATCAGGTGCCGGGCTATAGTTTTCGATGGCCAGAACTTCACATGGGAGGAAGAGCATTTCAAGATCCCTCATTTCTCTGGAAATATGCCTGTCACCGACCTTCCTCATTACCCGCTGCGATTCTGCGAAAATCCAGAGGCCGTCATCTCCAGGTTGAAGGCTCGGGCCACGAATGTGCTTGATCTACAAGGTCTGCATTACAAGTCTTACACTGATGTTGCACTGGACTGTATGGGGAGGAAACACAACGTATGACCAACCAACCTGTTCTTCCACTCCCGAGAATTCTGACTCAAATCTTGCTTAGGTCAATGGCAGAATCCTTATCGATGTCAGGGGATATCGCAAATATCAATTGAAACTTGGGGCTGCAGAATCGAAGGACCCTGAATATCAGAAGAAACTGGTGTTGCAAGCTGCCTCCAAACCCTTGGGAGACGTGAATCTAAACGATCCTGACTCTAGCCAAGGAACTCTCCTTGAAGAAAACATTTCATTGACTGTCAGAACTCATCTATCGAAGGAAGAGCAGCAGAGACACAAGGAGGGAATGTTAAAAATTGGAGATGACCTGTCTCTCTTACATCATCGACTTCAAGGATATGCGCTGGAGAACAAAGAGTGGTGTAAGCACTACAAGCTCCATCACTGCTGGGATATCATTAACTCTTAATAGTGAATTTCTACGTTGACGAGCTCAAACACGTGGAATGGAATGATGAAGCCTACGATCATTTGGTTTATGATAAGCAGCAGAAAGACCTCGTGCTGTCTTTTGTTCAGAATCACCATGCCACGCACCGTCAAGATGATGACGTTATCGCAGGGAAAGGTCAGTTGGAAAAATTGATTTGGAAGTTGAGATTGTCTAACTGACCGGTCCAATTCTTCAGGCCAAGGACTGAATATTCTTCTGAGCGGACCTCCTGGCACGGGCAAAACACTGACAGCTGAGGCTGGTGAGCACAAAATTAACTTATCGCTCCATTCCCAACCTATATTCCTGAGAATACAAACTCTAATTGTGACTTTTTCATACACAACCAGTGGCGGATAGATGTCGCCGTCCACTATTCTACCTCCAAGCTGAAGATCTGGGGATCCTAGCCGCAGAACTGGGGACAAATATCAAGAGAGTCTTTGAGATGGCCATTGAATGGGATGCGGTGATATTACTTGACGAAGCAGACGTCTTCATGGCCGAACGCCATCCTACCGACATCGCCCGCAACGAACTCGTCTCCATATTTTTGCGCGAGCTTGAATACTACAGGGGCATTATTTTCCTGACTACCAACTTGTACGAGACCATCGACACCGCCTTCCGATCCCGTCTGAATTTGCATCTATTATTCAACCCCCTTACACCAGAGACCCGTCTCTCCGTCTGGCGAAAGTTCCTGGAGAGAATGCCTCCAATGGCCCCCCGAGCTGGCGACGACGAAGGACAAGTCCCAAATGGCGAGCCAAGAAGTGCCATGAAGGAAATTACGGAGGAGGATCTGAACGAGTTGGCTATGTGGCAGCTGAACGGAAGAGAGATTAAGAATGCGGCAAAGATGGCTAAGTCGTGGTGTGACTATAAGGGATATGATATGACGTTGTCGAGGATTGAGAGCGGGATCAAAGTCACAGCTCCCCACAGTTTAAAGAGAGATCATACGACACCAAGAGAATTGTATGATTAAAGGCCAACGGCTATAGAAGGAGGGGCCAGTAAGTAAGTTGGTATTGCTGTGGCGGTCCCGACTCCCTTTTGCGGTGAGGTGTGCCTCCCATTTGTATTCCCAATGGAGCTCTGGGTTCTGATCCTTTGATATGATCCTTGCTGGCCGTATTATTTAATATCTCTCGTTAATCATTGAATGTTTGCTGGATATGATACAATACTGGGTGGGGTTCCTATATTTGGTGAAATCCAGATGTGCCATCTACCTAGAATATATGACTGTCTTTTTTTTCCTTTCTTAATTAATCTCCCCCCTTGCAGCAGTCTTTCCTTAGAGATTCTGAGAATTTGGTGAGAAAATCACGGTTTTTATGTTGAGTAGAAAAAACAAGATGCACAAGCTACCTTTGATAATTGAATCCATTTTTCCAGGCCCTTCATTTGTTCTATTTCAAAGGAAGATGGTGGAAATCCATGACGAAACAGAGTTGGACGAGTGGCCTGGTACATACTAAAAATTTCAATGGTAAAACGGGTAGACCATATCCGCGGCGGGAGTGTAGAGCTTGCCGCCTATTATTTTAGCTGGCCCGCCCCTAATGAAAGCCCATAAGAATAGGGGCCCTCGAACAACCTTACAACAAAGCAGCCACGGGGCGGAATTACTTTACACCGGTGACCTAACTCGGGGTGTTCCCAAAGCTACGCGAATAGTTCAAAGCCACCAAAGCCACCAAAGCCACCAAAGCAGCTTGTCACCGCCAGAAAAACCAACCTCGCCCCAAAGCTTTCATTTCAAGCATCACTCAAACCCGTTCAACCCACAATTATCCTAACCACCTTCTTCTTCTTCACTTCCTTTTTTTCCCTCTCCTCCATCTTTACTCCTCCCCCAAACTCCACATAAAACCCCACACAACAGAACGACAATAACCCCGCGAACATCGCATCCGACGCGGTAGCCCCCCCCCCAAACATGTCGGAACGTAGCTCCTTCCGGGGCACTGGTCCCCGTCTTGGTGGGCGCGGCGGACGAGGCAGCGCTGGTGGTGCCGGTGGCTACAGCTATCGTTCCCAGAAGGGTGGCGGTGCAGGTGGCGGTGCTTCACATCAACATCATCAACAACAACAACAACAACAACAACAACAACAACAACAACAGCACCAGCACCAGCAGCAGCAGACGGGAGGGGCAGTTGGGCAGGGTGGGCAAGGCGGGCAGCAGCAGCAGCAGCAGCAGCAGGAGAAGCCGAAGAAAGAGAATATCCTGGACCTGGCGAAGTATATGGAAAAGGAGGTTTGTGTAAAGTTCAATGGGGCCAGAGAAGGTAAGATTTTTTTTATTTTATTTTAATTTTTGTTTTTATTAGTTATTATTTTCCTTTTCTTTTTATTTCTTTGGAATAAGCGATGTGTTTTGAGAGAGTTACGTTATTCGACATTTCATGCATGCTGTAAATTTCTCTTTCTGGGTCATTTTTTAAGTTCAGGGTGCCTTTGGTGGGGGGATATCTTATGATATCAGTCACTGTGCCCTTTTGTTGCGAAGAAGCTCATCATCCACGAGAGTGGCATGTATGCTTGGGATTCAATTCAAGTATACAGTGCCGTCGAGGTCTCACTACATTGACCTGGTGGATATAGGCATATTATCATTCAGGCACATCTTCAAACCACGCATGGATTATATAACCCCCCCCCCCTCCCCCCATTCCATATACAATTCCACCTTTCCCAATGCATTTATGTCATCTACCACCTCGAATGTCACTTAGCTAACAATGTCTTTCCGATATAGTAACCGGTACTCTCAAGGGTTACGATCAACTTATGAACCTCGTCCTAGATGACGTAAAGGAAGTGATGCGTGGTGGGTATTTGCATATGCCTACATTTTGAATATATCAACCCTTCGATACAGTGAACAGGACTGACAAATACATCCCGCAGATGACGAGGATAACCAAACAACCCGTCCACTCGGCCTCGTCGTGGCACGGGGCACACTGCTCGTACTTATCTCACCAGTTGACGGTAGTGAGGAGATTGCCAACCCTTTCTTGCAGGCGGAGGATCAATGATTGTTTTTTTTTTTTTTTTTTTTTTTTTTTTTTTTTACCCTTTGGCCTTTGGCGCGTCCTGTCTTGTTGGCTTTATCCCGACTCAATGATTATTTCACCGGGCTACAGTTCACATGATGGATGGATTGAATGGTGGGCCGGCCTGCATTGATGCATTGATGCATTGAGGGTAGAAAAAGATATGCGAAATGAGCCAGTTTTCCCCTTCGGCCTCTATATCTTTTTTATTTATTTATTTATTTATTTATTTATTTTTTCCTCTTCCAGCTTTTCCCGTACCGCAACTTTTCTCACTAAGATGCCGAGCATATTTTGCGTCTGTGCAGAGATATGTATTATATAGTATTGTTCATTCTTGAAAATCAAATAACAGTAATGTGACATTAAATGCATTTTGTATCTATTGTGAATTAATATGCAAGTGCTAATGAGATCAACTTGTCTGCCGAGTATATCAAATCTGCTCTATAGTATTAGATGACTGCTACTTCTATAGTCATTTTACTACTACATTTTTCCTGTAGAAATGTTTTATCTGATGACGTTTAATGACCTATTCGTGTCTACCCTACCTAACTTGGAGTATTTTAGATAGCAGCGCACATGTATTATTAAAGTTACAGGTAAACAAACAATTTAACAAAAGCCTTAAGATTATTCATGCTTTTTCATTCTTGATTTTTCATTGCCCTTTTCCCTTCCATTTCTCATTAACCACAATTGTAGATCATGTACTTCATACATCTCCTTCAGATCATTAGCCCAATTGAATTCTCAATCCAACACAGCCTTCCTCAACTAGTTTCCTGAATCCAAATCCCACTTTCAGCGCATACCATCTTATCCGCAAGCATAAAGTCGAGATAGGTATAACGGAAATAACAAGGTTGAACAAGACCGGGCCCCCCACCCCCCCCCCCCTTTACCGCGGGGGGGGGAAATAGAGAACTTATTTTATGATCCAAGGTATATGACTTGTTTGGTTCTAATAAGGTTATTTAAGGGAGAAAGAACGTCCTAATTTAGATTAACTGGGAGGTGATGAAGGTACCGAAAAAGTAGCAAAGCGGGTAGAAGGAAAACTTACTCAATAGTTTAGTATAAGTATAATTTGTCCCCTACAGCTCGCGACGTGGGTAAGGGCGGGGCGGAAGGAGGGGGGGGAGGGTGGCGACATAAATATTTCCATTACAGATTAGA